CTTGCTCTGTTAAACATCATTTGAGAAATATTTAAAAAAGAAAACATTTTTTTCAAGAGTTCACACTTAGATACTGTTTGACAACTTGTTAGCAAGTTAGCAGGTTTGGCATGCTGTCCCGGGAGAGAACCCTGAGCTCGGAGATAGTTGAGCCCAGGGTTCCCGCCAGGTCCATAAAGCATGTGAGGGGAGTACGAGGTCAGGTGTTCTCGAGAGCTCCCCTCGGCAAAAGAGGAAAGGAGGAAAAGGGGTGGATGGGGGGTTTCTTCGAAAAACGAAGATAGGGGTGTACATTTTAGCTAGGTTATTTATAGTGGGTTTGGATTGTTCCGATTGGCTAGCTAATGAGCTTAGATGAGTGGCCGGCTGCAGTCAATCATATCACGTGCTCCTCTCGAAATTAGTTTATGAAACTTCATTTAAAGGGGGCTAATAATTCTGACTTTAACTGTATATATATATATATATATATATATATATATATATATATATATATATATATATATATATATATATATGTTTGGAATGACAAGAATGTGAATAAATCGTGACAGATGACATTTTGGGATTTTTGTGTATAATTAGTCTTGCGTAAGTTTCCACCAATTGCACAAACAGCTTTTCTGCTTAAAGTAAAAAATGATAATAACAGTACTTAAAATGGGTGTTCATTTGGCCTCATTGGCACTAGCAGCGACTGTAGCTGCCTGCCGCTCTGGGTGGCGACTGAAACTGATGTGGGTGTTCCCTCCTCAAGGATGCGTATGTTACATGTGTAAAGCATACACTCAATGCATCACCTAGTGGGTTCCACACAGGCTTCTACATCTTGCTTATATACACTATGAACAGCAGCTACTCTAATTATTCTCTTTATTCTCTATTTTCACCTGAGGATACTCATCCCGAGGTCCTCAGATAATGCGGAGTCACTGATTGGATCCAAGACCAGCGACGAGATGATCCTAAGCATTCCATATCCTGGACCAGGCCATATCCTAAGCTGCTGCTGCGCTGATGGTCGTGGGGAGTGGAGAACATGTGTCTGATTCCAGCAACGTTTCAGGGACAGACGAGTCTTCGCTGAGGCCATCTTCCAGCCTCCACCGCGGTGACTGAAGCTCTGCACAAGACTTTTGGCCAGCGGGGAAATTAAAATGGTTGTGTCCAACTGAGTCTGGTTCTCTCAAGGTTATTTTCTTCACTCCCATCAGGTGAAGTTTTTTCCCTCTCCGCTGTCGCCACTGCCTCGCATGGTTCAGGATTGGTAGAGCTACGCATCGATGAATTTGCTCTTCAGTGTCTGAACTCTCAGTAATGTTTAAATCGCACTGAACTGAGCTAAACTAAACTAAACTGAACTGAACTGAACTTAAACACTAAAAAACTGAACTAAACTGTTCCAGTTACTATGACCATTTATGTGAAGCTGCTTTGACACAATCTACATTGTAAAAGCGCTATACAAATAAAGCTGAATTGAATTGAATTGAACATTTATGCGAATGAGTTTACATGCCGCTGAAAGTAAACATCATTCAGAGAAAACACCACATATCAATGAAAACAGTACATAAAACACGTTGGGCTGTATTTTAACGATCTAAGTGCAAAGTCTAAAGCTCAGGGGGCAAAAGCATTAAGAGCGTGTCCGCATTCACTTTTTCGCTATTTTAAGGACGAAAAATACACTCTGTGCCGCGGTGCATGGTCTAACAGGGTTGTGCTCAATCTCTTAATGAGTTATAGGTGTGTTTTGAGCATAAACCAATCAAAGTCTACTTTTTCCATTCCCTTTAAGAGTCAGTTGCGTCGCACCATGGTGCATTAGCTATTTACATGGCCGACTGTGTAAGTGGAAAAACTGGATGCTTCGCTAGCGAGAAAACAGTTAAACAAAGCATCTGCAGCGCGAGGATAAAGAACGAGCCTCCTCCAATCGGCCTCTTAAATTTCTATTTCTTTCTTTCTTGAATAAGAAAACGGTGTTGTGCCATTCATTAGCCTACAAAATTTCGTTTGTGAAGACCAAAGATTTGTTTCAGAACTATTTATAAATTCAGTTCTTATTTCCAGCAAACGAATAAATGAACAATAATAACAAAGTGTTCTCAAAAACCTGAGTTTTATACAAAGACACGTCCTGTTCTTATGCCCCATATGGTCCAAAACCTGACAGGTGGGCAAATCTGCTTGCTTTTAATAAAATAAATATAAATATGCATATAAACAGTAATACTGCTAACAATAATAACATTATACAAAAGCAAATTGTCATGCATAAACTGAAAAAAGCCCCTCGAGATGAAGGCATGGAGGCGGTGGTTTTTATATTTTTGTAGAAAGTAATCATTTTTGTAACCTTTTAATCTGAGGCAACACGGCGGCGCAGTAGGTACTGCTCACAGCAAGAAGGTCGCTGGTTCTGATAATAATAATTACCAATATACTACTTCATAATAATAATAATAATAAATAAACAATATCCTACTTAATAATAATAAAAATATTAATAATAAATAAACAATATCCTACTTAATAATAATAAAAAATAATAAGAAGAAATAAACAATATCCTACTTAATAATAATAAAAAATAATAAGAAGAAATAAACAATATCCTACTTAATAATAATAAAAAATAAGAAGAAGAAATAAACAATATCCTACTTATTAATAATAATAATAATAATAATAATAAATAAACAATATCCTAACTACAGGAAAAACTAAGAGAAACTACGAGAAACTACGGGTTCTTTTCCCAAATGATGCATCGTACTATGATAGTTCAGCTGCGAGATACGTTGTTGTTTGGGAAACGCATCCCTGGGTGGTGACTGAAACCGCTGTGGGTGTTCCCTTCTTGAGGATGATGATTAGGTAACATTTATAATGATATTCATACCGAGAGCCAATGAGTTTACGTGCTGCCGAAAGTAAACATTGTTCAGAGAAAACACTAAATATGAATGGAATCAGTACATAAAACACTTAACCACAAAGATGATCAAGAAATAAGTGTGTTCTCTGTTATTGTGGCTGTTTATCTTCTGCGAATGCTTCTCTGTGTTTTGAAGTTGCTTTTATTGCAGTTGTGGCCTTTTATTTCATTTCCCTATTTCATGTGCTGCTTTTACTTGCTGAAGTCATCTTGCACACTCTCCACCTGCTCGGTGCAGGTCACCTGACAAGCAAAATGTGCCTCAAACACACAAAAGCATTGAATGTCCTGCTGTTGAGTCCCATTTATAATTCATGTTGACTCAAAGTCAATAGTGGAGCCGTCTAACAAAGTCTATTTCTCCAGCGTACAACTGGGTTAATAACAATGAGTACGCTATTGACCCACACACACACACATGCAGGAATTGATGGGATTACATAACAATGGAGAGTGTGACATTTTCCATTGCATTCAATCCAATGTCAATATACGGTTATTCGCTGTATGTGTTAAAGAAGGGGACTGCTAACCAGGCTGCAGAGTTTTCTGTAGCATTTCTACATTTATTTACTGTTTAAATCTCAGCCATTTTAGACTATTAGATCTGAAGACTAACATCAGCTGAGTATTATAGTTTGGTTAGGATTCACTGATATAAACACAACAATATAAATCTCTTCTGCTCATGTTTTCGTCACTACAGCACTAGAAAAAGCTTTTCCCCTTACTTTGACTGTAAAATAGTTTCTGATGTTCATTTGAATACATGGCAGGAAAATGTGGCCAATGATTCAAATCCTTTAAACAGATGCAGACACGAGCAAATCAATGACAAAGCCTTTTCATCACAAGGACAGAGAGATTATGACATATTATGACGTGTGAAGGTGCTGTAGTTAGGCTTGGGCGGTAATACTGTAAAATGGTATACTGCGGGATCTAAAAATAGCAACCGTGTCAGTTTCAATATCGTTATACCGTCATAATAACAATGCACTTATATAGGAGACTAGTATAAAATGTTAAATATCCCTTATTTAATGCCTACAAATATGTATGCGTGATTGTCGTCACAAGACAGTGTAGACGAGATAGAGAGGGAGGGAGAGGTGAGGTGGCGAGTCGCGCACCAAGTGACCTGCAGTTTGGCAGTATTTTCGGTTTCGACCGAACGAGAAGGGAGACGTGGTAAATACAAACTAGAGGTCTGCATTCCCACTGCTGTACCGCAGGAGCCGACCAGATTTCTTGCGGTGCGGGAATATATTTTCGAATAAATCGCGGGAGCAGTCGATAACTCTGGTGTAATTTGAAAGGGAGCGGGTGCATCCGCATGGATGCTGTTTATGTGTGTGTGTGTGTGTGACAATAAGAGAGAGCATCGTGCTGCGTGTAGCTTGGTCCTCTCTCTCTATGCGTGTGTGTGTGAGAGAAAGAGAGAGAGAGAACGTAGAGCTGTGCGTCGTTTTGTGCTCTCTCTTTATGTGTGTGTGAGATCGAGAGAGAGCGTTGTGCTATGCGTCGCTTAATGCTGTCTCTCTGTGTGTGTGTGTGTGTGTGTGCGTGCGTACGTAGGAGCGTCCGGCACAGACGAATACGAACAAGACAAACAGGTGACCGCGAATCTAAGGTCGCATATACGGTATTCAGATTCTGATTGGTTTAGGCACAAGCCAACAGTTTGGTGACGCTGTCTGAGCCTTACGTCATATTTTTTTTACCGCCCAAGCCTAGCTGAAGTGCTGTCCCAATCCTTAGGGAAAAATTTTGAAGCCCTTCCCCTTCACACTCTGTTTCAAGGGCCAAGGGGAAGGGGTTGGGGTACAAAAATAGAATCAGGATTGGGCCTTAAAGTGGTTCAATTCAGTCAATGTTTAAGTTAAAATGTTAACTTACTAAATTCTCTCATCATGTAGCTTTTGCATGGGAAGCAGCGTACGCGCATTTCCGTTTGTGCTTGTGCCACGTTTATGAGAGCCCTGGCCCCTTGTAATATCCCAGTATGAGAAGAACATTAAAGAGTTGAATGAAAGGCTTGATGTTTTGTACTCACCAGGTCTCTGTGCAGCACCCAGTTGGCGTGCAGGTAATGGATGCCGTCTAGGATCTGGTAGAGCAGAGACTTCACCATCCCCCTGGGCAGCTGCATGGGCTTCTTGTTGGCCTTTGATGCTCGATGAAATTTTATGATGTGCTACAGCATGTGATGAATGAGAAAAACACATGTGAGAGTAGTGTACACGCAGGAGCTTTCAGATAATCACAACACATGTTTTGTTCGTATAGGTGTTTCTGCTGAAATGACATTACATTATTGATGCCTCGACTGCACTGTAAGCAATGCTTTTCTTACTTACAGTTTCGAGTCCCAATATCAAACAATTTGAGTTCTTCGTTAAAACAAGCAAAATAATCTGCCAATTAGGTAAGTGAAATAATCTTATTTCACAGCGACAAGATTATCAGCCGCCTGACGCAAAGTGTAGCACTGTTGTATAAGACTAAAGAGTAAATCCTGCGAAAACACCCGACTGGATGTACTTTCCATAAAATAGCCTTTTTTTAGAGCTTTAATCGTTTTTCTTTTTAATTCTTTATTTAAACACACAGCTGACAGACACTAAAACAGCTGATGGAGTATACACTAACCTGCGCATTATTCAGACACAAGATGGAGACAGTCAAAAACAGAAAGCTGACAGACAGTAAAACAGCTGATGGAGTATACACTAACCTGCACATTATTCAGACACAAGATGGAGACAAACAGTCAAAAACACAAAGCTGACAGACACTAAAACAGCTGATGGAGTATACACTAACCTGGCCATTATTCAGACACTAGATGAAGACAAACAGTCAAAAACACAAAGCTGACAGACACTAAAACAGCTGATGGAGTATACACTAACCTGCACATTATTCAGACACAAGATGGAGACAAACAGTCAAAAACACAAAGCTGACAGACACTAAAACAGCTGATGGAGTATACACTAACCTGCACATTATTCAGACACAAGATGGAGACAAACAGTCAAAAACACAAAGCTGACAGACACTAAACAGCTGATGGAGTATACACTAACCTGCACATTATTCAGACACAAGATGGAGACAAACAGTTAAAAACACAAAGCTGACAGACACTAAAACAGCTGATGGAGTATACACTAACCTGGCCATTATTCAGACACAAGATGGAGACAAACAGTTAAAAACACAAAGCTGACAGACAGTAAAACAGCTGATGGAGTATACACTAACCTGGCCATTATTCAGACACAAGATGGAGACAAACAGTCAAAAACACAAAGCTGACAGACACTAAAACAGCTGATGGAGTATACACTAACCTGCGCATTATTCAGACACTAGATGGCACCAAACAGTCAAAAACACAAAGCTGACAGACACTAAAACAGCTGATGGAGTATACACTAACCTGCACATTATTCAGACACTAGATGGCACCAAACAGTCACAAACACAAAGCTGACAGAAACTAAAACAGCTGATGGAGTATACACTAACCTGCACATTATTCAGTCACAAGATGGAGACAAACAGCCAAAAACACAAAGCTGACAGATGAAAACAGCTGATGGAGTATACACTAACCTGAGCATTATTCAGACACAAGATGGAGACAAACAGCCAAAAACACAAAGCTGACAGACACTAAAACAGCTGATGGAGTATACACTAACCTGCGCATTATTCAGACACAAGATGAAGACAAACAGTCAAAAACACAAAGCTGACAGACACTAAAACAGCTGATGGAGTATACACTAACCTGAGCATTATTCAGACACAAGATGGAGACAAACAGTCAAAAACACAAAGCTGACAGAAACTAAAACAGCTGATGGAGTATACACTAACCTGCGCATTATTCTGACAATAGATGGAGACAAACAGTTAAAAACACAAAGCTGACAGACACTAAAACAGCTGATGGAGTATACACTAACCTGCGCATTATTCTGACAATAGATGGAGACAAACAGTCAAAAACACAAAGCTGACAGACACTAAAACAGCTGATGGAGTATACACTAACCTGCACATTATTCAGACACAAGATGGAGACAAACAGTCAAAAACACAAAGCTGACAGACACTAAAACAGCTGATGGAGTATACACTAACCTGAGCATTATTCAGACACAAGATGGAGACAAACAGTCAAAAACACAAAGCTGACAGACACTAAAACAGCTGATGGAGTATACACTAACCTGAGCATTATTCAGACACAAGATGGAGACAAACAGTCAAAAACACAAAGCTGACAGAAACTAAAACAGCTGATGGAGTATACACTAACCTGCGCATTATTCTGACAATAGATGGAGACAAACAGTCAAAAACACAAAGCTGACAGACACTAAAACAGCTGATGGAGTATACACTAACCTGGCCATTATTCAGACACTAGATGAAGACAAACAGTCAAAAACACAAAGCTGACAGACACTAAAACAGCTGATGGAGTATACACTAACCTGAGCATTATTCAGACACAAGATGGAGACAAACAGTCAAAAACACAAAGCTGACAGAAACTAAAACAGCTGATGGAGTATACACTAACCTGCGCATTATTCTGACAATAGATGGAGACAAACAGTCAAAAACACAAAGCTGACAGACACTAAAACAGCTGATGGAGTATACACTAACCTGCACATTATTCAGACACAAGATAGAGACAAACAGTCAAAAACACAAAGCTGACAGACACTAAAACAGCTGATGGAGTATACACTAACCTGCACATTATTCAGACACTAGATGGCACCAAACAGTCACAAACACAAAGCTGACAGAAACTAAAACAGCTGATGGAGTATACACTAACCTGCACATTATTCAGTCACAAGATGGAGACAAACAGCCAAAAACACAAAGCTGACAGATGAAAACAGCTGATGGAGTATACACTAACCTGAGCATTATTCAGACACAAGATGGAGACAAACAGCCAAAAACACAAAGCTGACAGACACTAAAACAGCTGATGGAGTATACACTAACCTGCGCATTATTCAGACACAAGATGAAGACAAACAGTCAAAAACACAAAGCTGACAGACACTAAAACAGCTGATGGAGTATACACTAACCTGAGCATTATTCAGACACAAGATGGAGACAAACAGTCAAAAACACAAAGCTGACAGAAACTAAAACAGCTGATGGAGTATACACTAACCTGCGCATTATTCTGACAATAGATGGAGACAAACAGTTAAAAACACAAAGCTGACAGACACTAAAACAGCTGATGGAGTATACACTAACCTGCGCATTATTCTGACAATAGATGGAGACAAACAGTCAAAAACACAAAGCTGACAGACACTAAAACAGCTGATGGAGTATACACTAACCTGCACATTATTCAGACACAAGATGGAGACAAACAGTCAAAAACACAAAGCTGACAGACACTAAAACAGCTGATGGAGTATACACTAACCTGCGCATTATTCTGACAATAGATGGAGACAAACAGTCAAAAACACAAAGCTGACAGACACTAAAACAGCTGATGGAGTATACACTAACCTGCACATTATTCAGACACAAGATGGAGACAAACAGTCAAAAACACAAAGCTGACAGACACTAAAACAGCTGATGGAGTATACACTAACCTGCACATTATTCAGACACAAGATGGAGACAAACAGTCAAAAACACAAAGCTGACAGACACTAAAACAGCTGATGGAGTATACACTAACCTGTGCATTATTCAGACATAAGATGGAGACAGTCAAGAACACAAAGCTGATAGACACTAAAACAGCTGATGGAGTATACACTAACCTGCGCATTATTCAGACACAAGATGGAGACAAACAGTCAAAAACACAAAGCTGACAGACACTAAAACAGCTGATGCACATTGTACATTTCTGTATTATTGTCCCTGTCAAATAAACCTGAAATTAAATACAGTGGGGGGAAATAAGTATTGAACACGTCACCATTTTTCTCAGAAAACATATTTTTAAAGGTGCTGTTGACTTGAAATTTCCCCTGGATGTGGATAACAACCAAAAACATCCATATATGCAAAGAAAGCTATATTAATTACATTACAAAGGAAGTTCTGTGTAATAAAATGAAATGACGCAGGAAAAAAGTATCGAACACATGAAGAAAGAGAGGTGTAGTTCGGCAGGGAAAGCCCAGACAGCAGCTAAAACCTCTCAGTAGTTTTTCAGCAAGCCTCTGCCATTCCTCAGTGTAAATGAATAGCAGCTGCTTCAGTCCAACATCTACATTAGCAGGAGGATGAAGATGAAAACAGGGTGGACATTTCAGCAAAACAACGATCCAAAACACAGCCAAGGAGACTCTCAGATGTTTTCAGAGAAAGAAAATCCTGACTTGAATCCAATAGAGAATACAAAATAAAGCTAAGATTTGATAGATGAGACCCACAGAACCAACAAGATGTTGGCACTCTGTTGAAGTCTGTGAGAAACTCACACCTGAGCAATGCATGTGACTTCATTCTCCAGAACTCATTTTCAGATTATTTGTTTGTTTTGTTTGTATTTATTTATTTTTATTTTTTCACCAAAATCTGCTTTAATTCCATGTTAACAGCTCCTTTAGAAATATTATTCCCAGAAAAAAATATGACGTGTTCAAAACGTATTTTCCCCACTGTATATATATATAGTAATGATTGAAGTATAAACTCACCCACAGATCATGCTCGGCGTAGTCAAACAGGAGCCAGACTTTACGGTCACTGTGAGACAGAAACACTTTCTGCAGCGCGATGACGTTTGGATGCTTCAGCTCTCTCAGCAACTGCAGAAAGACAAACACTTTATTATTCTGCTCATCACCTGCTCACTTTTTAAAGCGGGCCTATTATGCAGAAATCACTTTTATAAGGGGTTTAAATACTTGAAAAATCTACTCTGCGCAGTGGCGCATGGTCAAACAGGGTTGTGCTTATTCTCTTAATGAGTTCTGGATGTGTGTTTTGTCTCATTTCCCATTCCCTTTAAGAGTCAGTTGCGTCGCGCCATGGTGCATTTGCTATTTACATGATGACAGACTTTGTAAGTGGAAAAACTGAACGCTTCACTAGCAAGAAAACAGGTAAACAGAGCATCTGCAGCGCGAGGATGAGAGAATGAGCCTTCTCATTCTTTACTTTCACTTTCTCTCTCTTCCATTGATAAGGAAACGTGTTGTACGCACAGACATCCATTGGCCTACATAATTAATTTTGTTTATTAAGCGCAAAGATTTGTTTCAAAACTATTTCTAAATTCAGTTCTAATTTCCAGCAAACTAATAAATGAACAATAATAACGAAGTCTGGTCAAAAAACGGAGTTATATCCAAATACACAAGCTGTGCCCCATATGGTCTAAAACCTGACAGGTGGACAAATCTAGGCTTGTTTTTAATAAAACAAATATAAATATGGATATAATAAATAATACTGCTGATAATAATAATTCCATTAAAGCAAATTGTCGTGTATAAACTAAAAAAGCCCCCCGCCAGATGAAGAAGGCAGTGGTTTTCATATCTATGTAGAAAATAATAATTGTTGTAATATTTAAATCCTTTAATTCTTTTTCATTTGTGAAGATATTTGCGCATTGCTGTGCATCCTGTGTGTATTAAGCGATGTGTAAGCGAGGAGCACAACTAACGCGCTCTGCGCTGTCCTTTAGACCTCCTCTTAGCTTTTTTTTTTTAGCTCTTTAGATCCTCAAAATAGCAACGCGCCAACAATGCACCTAGACCAGAACACCTATGGGCGCACATATTAGCGCAAATGCACTTGCTATTTACACACCGTGGTGCAATACGTCAAAACGACACTTGCGTCAAGCTGAAACTAGCAAACAACATTTGCATCACGCCTTGCGTCAGGTGTTGTTTCAAACCTTTGTGAAATTTTTTCTGTTGAAAACTGAAAGGATATTTTGAAGAAAGCTGAAGACATGTAAATATTGACTTTCAAATATTTAAGTTTTCCTACTATAGAAGCACTTGAGGGAGAGTAAATAGTGTGTAAAGGCTAACTCTGGGCTGAACTATCCCTTTAAATGCATTCTGCAGACACACATTTATGTGGCCAAGTGCAAATGGAAGCCAGAAGCAGAGTAATCTGACTAATCAATACGCATGAAGAGAGCGAGTGAGGCAATCGATTGGAAGGTCATGTGACCACAGCATCTGCAGTGTTTGAGCACACATCCAAACATACATGCATACTGGGATTTACAATTTACCCTGTGAATGCCTTGGATTGGATGGAAAATGATTTCATTACTGCACGTTTACACAAACGCTCACACACATGAACACCAACACACACTGTGTGGGTCAAAATTATTCAGTTGATACTAAATTGATACTAAAACCACTTGAATTATTAGCAGTGGTGCAAAGTAACTAATTACAATATTCTTAAATTACAAATTAAATACTCAAATTACAAATTAAATACTCAAATTACAAATTAAATACTCAAATTACTGTATTGTAATTTACTTAGTAGTTTTAAAAATGTGTACTTTTACTCTTCCTTGAGTACATTTTTAATGCTGTTATCAGTACTTTTACTCCTTTATAATGAAGCAGTCACTGCTTTATTATTTCCTGTCTATGGGGATTAGAAAAATCAGTTCTGTGATTCCCATCCAATCAAATCACACATAGAAGGTAAAAGTGCCCAAGAAGATGTTCAAAATCTTTACAGGCATTAACCCAGAGATTGTGTACATGCATGTCACTGATGAGAAGATGACGAATGTTTACTGTGTGATGACCGTAATGGTCTTAAACACCCAACAGTCACAAGACGTCAACATGACTTCAGATTGACATTGTACCCCAGCATTGTGGGGACGTTGCATTTTGTGTGGAAATGAAAATCGGGTTTACATTAGAAATCAACGTCAGGCCGACGTCAATGTCCGATGTCCAATCTAAAATCAACCAAATATAAACGTCAAATGATGTTACAGCTTGAAGCTGTGTGGACGTCACCACTATGACGTCTGTCAGACGTTGGATTTTGGTTGCCATATTTGACGAATAAATGTCAGTATTTGACGTCAATATGATGTTGGTTGAAAATATTGACTGGATGTTGGATTTTGGAAACCGGAGCACTGGGAGGAAACCCACGCCACTGCTTTTGTGCCCTGTGCTTTAGACTTTACGCAACCCAAGCTCATTCTGGAAACATAGCCCCACGGACGTTTCTGGAGACCGCGATTTGGCCGAGTTTAGTTTTTTCGAGCGAACGCTGAGGGCCGCTCCGCCCCTCCTCTTCGCGCTCGCTGGCCGACGGCTCACCTCCAAATGGAGGGCTTTCCCGATGCAATCAGTTTGTTCGCTTAGCTCACAGCGTTGCGTCGGTAGAGCGGAGGCCCCGGAGGAGGAGCCAGCAGCGGTGGACGACGACCGGGATCGAGTCCAGGGAACAGCAGGTTCCAGAAATCAGGTAAGACGAAAAACGGAATCCGAAAAATAAGGGCAAGAACGCGGCGGGATCCGAAAACGCAGTCGAAATCGAAGATGAGGGCTTTTGCTTTTTTTTTTTTTTTCTGGACGGCTTTTGCGAACCGTCGCTCAGGTTTAGGGAAGGAGGAGGAGGAGGAAGATGAGGGCGGCTGAGTCGGCCGATCCGGCGGCTTTTTGCGTGAGAACGGCGCGCGCTCGCGAGAGGCGCCCGAGACGCAAAAAAGCGCGCACAGCGGCCTCTCGCGGATCTGCGAAAACAAAAACCGCTCGAATACGTACCTCCCGGGACGTAAATCGCGGTCCGCAGAAACGTCCGCGGGGCTACGTTTCCACAATGAGCCCGGGTTGACTTTACGCCTAGACTGTTAAAATAGAGCCCAACCAGTAATCTAATCCAATGTGTATAAAATATAGCCATTCTTAATCCTGTAGTAGAATAAGCAGTCTTAGTTCATATGATTTATTATCATCGCTTGTTTTTTTTGAAACACGGTGTACACTTAGGAAAACTACAATTTTTACAGTCATCTTTTAAAGTTGGTTCAAAGCATGTTTCAGTGTAAAGCCTAGTTCACACTAGAGGATTTTAAGCCTGATTTGAGCCCGATTTGGAAGTTAACGAGCTCGCCAACAGATCGGGCTGTGATCGGGAAGAAATCTGCGGGTGCTCGGCGCTCGCCGCTCTTTATGTGTGAACTACTGAACAACGCATCAACGAGCCTCGCTGACGCGTCGCCGACACCTCGCAGACGGAAATCCAACATCTAGCATGCTAAATATTCCAGAGCAGTCGACCGACTCAACCCCACGTGTGGTCAGATGTAGTGACGAGCTGCAGCCAATGAGAGAGCAGATCAGCATGAGCTGAATGCCTGTGTGTTCAGGAGCTCAGCAGAAACATCTGTGATTGGTCAGAATGGGCATCGGTGCACTCGCTTCATTCTGCGTTAGCACAGACATGAGAGTAGACTATATTAACAGTGGAACTAGAATTCTGTAACTATTAGAATTACCATACTGCTCATTCTGACTGTTCTCATATAAAACGCCATACTGTCACAACATATTTACATTCAAAGTTATTATTGAGATATTAAAATTAAGCTTTGAATGTCTGGCATCATATTTAATGACACCATTACCCTAAAAATATCATCTTTTTTTGGTAATACAGCCTATAAATATGTAGTTAAGATACTAAAGCACTTAAAGGTCTTGGCTTTCATTTTCACTTTCAAACAGGAGCTATTTCACAGCACAGAATATGCTTTTTTGAAAGATATCTGAAGTAAATTGATGTTTTTGCCATCAGAAAGTTTTGTTTATGTTAGCAGGAAGTTGCCAGGCAAGAAAATGCACACACATTTAAAGTCACAGCGAAAAGTATCAGACATGCATGCAGTCATGTTGACCAATATGGTAATTTAAGGCAGAAATGCTCAGTTCTTTACTGTTTTGTAATAAAAAATTAACAATGTCAGAAAGAAATACACTGATAGTTAGAAAGCGGCAGGGTGTTATAAATATGTTAGTTTTATTTCAAAGAGTTATAAAATTACAAAAATTAAAAACTCTCTGTGTATCTATCCACTGGAACCTTGCAGATGAGTGATTAATCCGCTGATAAATCAGCTGATTTGACGATGTTTTTAAATGCTTTCTCCAAAGCTTGAAACGCTGTCAGTGATGTAATCCGCACACAAGCAGCCAATAGTGTTCAGCTTTTTCTGATGACTCCTCCCTCAAATTTTCATTGGCTGTGGTTTGGTAGCTTGAATGAGCTGATGGGGAATGAATTGTTGTCAGATCATATAGTGTGTGACCCCCCTCTTGTGGATTGTTCACGGAGTGTTGCGTAGTGTGAACACCACAGAGATTAAAAGACACAAAGTCAAGTCATGTAGTGTGAACGGCACAGCGATCTGCTGATGTTTAAAATCCTGTAGTGTGAACTAGGCTTAAGCAGATTTAGCATTTTATGCTGTAGTCTACCTTCTTAAATGGTGTTTCATTTTTTTTTTATTAGCAGCATTAACCTGATTAGTTTTTCCTCATGGTTAAGTTTCTTAAATGATTCACTTCTAACATATTAAAGTGAAGCTAACTTTCAAATCTGCCATTTGTACATGTTTTATATCTAAATGACTTCTCCTGATGGCTCTATTGCTAAATAAATTCAAAGATTTCCACACTTAAAAATGACAACGCTTATTAAAAGTTAAAAACAACAATGAACAACAGCTTGCAGCTAAATATTTAACTAGAATATGACCTCAAATTAATGAGCCAAAGCCCAGTCAACAGCTCTCAAC